AGAACCTTCACAGACATCCTTTGAAATTCTTTTTAAAAGTCATTTTAAAGACCTTCCTTCAACGTCCCAGAGCATCTCAAGCTGTCACTGCATATTAGAAAGAATCTGTTTGTTTTAATGCAGATTGTTGAGTCTACAAAGGTTTAGCAGTCTTACCTCTAACATCAGTCCTATTTTTTAATTTAATTACATTTTGTTTATATAGCAGTATATTTACTGGCAAACAAATGTGGCTAATTTGTGGAATGTTGTGTGTTTTATTTGCAGCATCCAGAGGACGTGGCACAGACCGAGGGTTCGCAGCAGCTCCACCTGCAGCCCAGCGATTCATTAGAGAAGCAGCAACCCAAGAGGTTACACGTCTCTAACATCCCTTTCCGCTTCCGGGACCCTGACCTCCGGCAAATGTTTGGGGTGAGATGAGACACAATGACACGCAATAATTTATGTGCCACTGTGCACTTAAAAGCAGTCACTGCTTTTAAAGAACATCAGCAAATACAGTCAGGAAAAGATAAATCTATGTGTCTGTTTATGTATAGCTATAATTAAAAAACAGAAGTTAACCGTAGTCTACAGACTGAATTTTAATAGAAATTTACAATGCATTATTTACATTGGGTAAACATGAACATTTTCATGTGGCTTGTTGAATAATTTAAACACCCAGCTGCCTACCTCTGAATATTTGGTACGAGAGCGTTGCATCTATTTCCATTCCAAAGGCCACTGACAACAGAATAGGTACACTATAACCATCAGCATGCTCTTACACTGGAAACACACAAAGAAAACAATGTGCTTGCATTAGCATTAGCATTAGCATCACACACACCTGTCTCGTAGAATAGAATAGCATGGAATAGCTTTTTTATTGTCACTGTTACTAGAACAATGAAAGGCAGTTTTGGCATTTCTCCATGTGTGTGAAGTACACAATAGCACAAGTATTTACACATCTTAGTATTTCATATCAAGCAAAGAACTGGTTTCTATGAACGTTTAGAACACTGAGGACATCAGCATAAGCACACAGTCATACAAAAAACTAATCAAAGGCAACAGGTCATTAAAAACAGTCAGTGGCACGCTAACGCTTCATTGTGTTGTGTGTATTCAGTTACTACAGTCATGGAGTGTGTCCCTGCTGTGTTCCTGGCAAAGATGTTGTGAGTGGGCTACGATCATTTGTACTGCAGGTTTTTCCATCAGTTAAGCAAATTCTGATGATCCACGTTTTTGTTCGTAGATCTACTATAAAGTCCACCAGGGGGCGCCCTACTGTAAGGTCTTGGTTGAAGTGCACTCTCTGTATTGAGCTTTCCTTCCTGCTGTCTTCCCTCAGTTCACATGACACGTTTAGAAAATATCGCTCACTATTATCAATTATTAATATTTGTTCTCCTTGGATAAACTCCTGTGTGTGGCATCACGCTGACTGCCTCATCAAAAGCTGTGCCTTTTTCAAATAAAAAAGCGACGTCATGAGAAGTGAAACATGCGGTGTTCTAACATTGTAGCACGCAGCAGTAACAATGGTTGTGCATTGGGTATGTCTTTGGTGTTCTGGGTTTAACAATAAAAATAAATATTCTCTTACGTCCTCTGGTGCCAAATACAAAGTTCTCTCAAGCAATGGAATTACAACTGAGGTTTTTACTAAGAGTCAAGTCAATTCACAGACTATAGATTTACTGATATAAATCCACCATTACCATTAAATATCGTATGATTTCCCCTCTCTGACACATCTACTAACTTCCACATTTCTCTGGTGGAGTTCAATATCTGCTCAAAGTCGGTACAGCCCACAGGCCTCGTCATGTACAAGGCTTTTGTGGGCTGATGAAGAGTTGATGAAAGGGTCCATCAGTTGATATAAATAATGGGATTCCTCAACTAGGGAATTTATCCTCATTAGGTGTATAAAGTGTGACATCTTCATTTTGTGTGCGTCTAAAAGAGTGTAATCTTGAAAAGAAGTGGCACTGTGAACTTTCTCCCACTCACTTAGTGAGGTCTCCAAGGCACTAAACACTTCAACATAATTAAGTAGTGACAGCATCTGATAGAGGCAAAGAAGGAATTGTGAGAAAGAAAGAAACACGAATGTGGAAGCCGAAGAGGGGGATTAGAAGAGACAGACAATTTGTTAGTTCCCACTACAATCAGTGATGCTCAGAGGTCATCCAGCCTCGTTAAGAGCAGGACAGGAAGCACAGCAACAACTGTTTCCAAGTGCCTCCTTCTTCTTCTGGAAGTAGGTTTCGCTGAAAAATTCTCTTCTACAAAATATAATGCAAAGTGTATGACATACAATTTTATACAAGTACTGGGAAGTTACATATTAAAAAGAAATAAATTCAAGCAGGTACATACATCTTATGGGGCGGGGACGGGGAGGGGGACTACAAAGTAATGTCTCTGCATACGTTTGATGTATTTGTTTTGTTTTTTTAGGTCATGACAGAAATTTTTTATAGCTGTATAGTTGGTTAAAATGATGTACAGCAGGAAAGTGTGATGCACCTTCTGGTACTAATGTAACCGTATATCTTAACAGCTATGTGAACTAAGTTACAGATGATTCACAAATTGACGAGTCAGACTTTGCTGAGATCATTTCAGCTAATTTTACTCCTTTTTTGTCTTTGTGAAATGGAAACATTGTCAGTAATGCAGAAATACAATTTCCAAATAACTTGTTTTGCTACTTCAGAATGTCTGTTTTGATGAATGATGTTTTCTGCATTAAGGATGTAACGAGTTGTCAGGGAACCATCCCAGCACTGACAACAGACTCTCTTACACATGGTCACACCATTTCTTTATTTTTAGTGTCAATGTTTTAGCTTCAGGGGTTGTTGGTTATAAAGCAGTGTCACTGCAGTAGGAGTAACTCAGGTTTCACTTCAGTGGGTTCCTCCATTCACTTTAATGGAAATCACAAACAACTGGTTCAGTCTTTCATTACGGTCTTCTAGTCTAACACCAAAATGCAAACAAATACGATAGTTGGAGCATTACACCAAATGAAATTGCATCTGTGTAAAACCCGTTAGAGGAAAGTCATACGAGAACATTACACAGAGGCTTATAAACGAGTTCAAACAGAGGTGAGACAGACACAAGCTGAATCTCTGCATATGTGAATAACACAATACTAAAGAACAACACGCCTTCTTCTGGTTGTTGTGTATAGTTTCAGCAATATAGTCAGAGTCAAGGAGAGAAAACTTTGGTTTTAGAAAAGGATAAACTGGGTTCATTACCCTGGCTTATTTGAGTTGAATTCATAATTAGAAAAACACATTGAAGGGAAATTACCAGGCTGGGTTTTTTTAATGGTAGAATGATAATTGGCATTCACAGCGCCACTTTTTTTTTCAGTTCTCTCATTCTCAAGATGTGAGTGAAATCTGTATTCCAGGACTGCACCTCTATTGATTTCCTGCACTCAAAACTTACTACAAACATTTACCTACGCAGCTATTAGAAGGAAGCCGTCCTGTATTTACCACATGTCAGTATCTGTTGTTATTGGGCATCCAAGAATTTGTCATAATTTCAGATGCATGGAACCAAAAAGCATGCAGGCTGTGCAGCACTTGCAGGAGGATACTGTTCATTTACCCACATGTAGAATGAAACTTGACAAGCTGATGCAGCATTGCTGTTACCCCCTGAGCCTCAGCTGTGTTTAATTAATAAGCAGGCACTTAGTGAGCCAGCCGCAAGAGGGTCCTTACTGTCACGTTTCCCAGGGGTAGGGGTCCTAAATGAGTCATTAGATACTCAGCAGACACACACAGGCTTTTTATACACACAAACACTTATGATCTGCATTACCAGTGTGTGTCTGCGGTTGCAGTGAGCACTGGGGGCTGGGTTTTGTGCTAATGGAGTTTTAATGACATCTACTCCTGTCTAATCACCTGTTCTGAAGGCTTTCAACATCCAGGTAGCACAGAGCCCCCGGCAAGGGAATTCTTTTTAATGCCTCTTGTTCATGGCTACAGTCTCATTTGCCTATCCAATTATTCCATAAAGCTCCTCTCAAACCGGCTCTGCCTCTGAGGAAACGTGGTGTGATTATAATCTGCAAATCTGCTAATTCCCATCAACATATCAGTGTAGCAGTGGAGTCATTTGATCTGAGTGGGTAGTTAGAAAGCCTGGGCTTTACTATTGCTGGGCCTAACAGTGGAGAGAGTGTGTTTATGTTGATTAAGACAATTAGAGTGATTAGAAAGAAGGGGGCACTGATATACACCATTTCATTTACTACAGAGACTTGACTCATCAGATATGTTACATTTTTGGTGCCATACGCAGGATGTTCTTAGCATTTTTTTTCGGGGCTAAAGAGCTTACAGATAAAAGTTTTTCTAAATTAGTTTCCACTGATGCTGTTCACAATATTTCAGAGTTAAGAATAATGCCAAGAATAATGTTGGGTGTAATGCGTTACTAAGTAACGTGTTACTGTAGTTAAATTACTTTTCCACTGAAAAAGTAGAGTAACTAATTACTGTTCATTTTTAGGTATTTTAATTACAGTTACTTACAATGTACTTGCGTTACATTTTAAAATAATAAACTCGCTGAATATCATTATTTAATTTCAATAATTTATCTTCTAAATCAGGGGTCGGCAACCCTAGGCACGCGAAGGGTTAACTGATGGCACGACCATAGCTGGACTGGCCATCGGGCATTTGCTCGGTGGGCCGATGATTTTTTATTTATTTTTTGTAATGGTATAAACAATCAAAGGTGGTGGATTGGCCAGATGCTGGCCAGTGTATAAAAATAACTCAGTTGTTTGGTGGTGGCTGTGGCGGAGCTTCCACAGATTCAGTAACATTAGCAAGTAGTGGAGGCCAGTGGGTGGATGAGAGAAAGAGGAGGCAAGAGGGGAGGCAAGAGGAGAGACCCGAGGCAGCTACCGGTCCGAGTGTCAGGTGAACTGAACTTCAGGTAAGAAGTTATGACCTGCAGTCTATCTGGGCCAGATATAAAGTTTAGGTGTAGTTTTATTTTTGTTGTGCTGACTATTTACAGTCAGTTACAATAACTCGTACTGCGTGCTAGCTAGCATGAACTTTATTTTATTCATAAGTTAGTAGAGTTGCCAACCGTCCCCTAAAAAACGGAATGGTCTCGTATTCAGAGAAAATATTACGCATTTCTTATTGAGGTGAAAAGGAACAGTTTGTCCCGGACTTCAGCTACAACGAAAAAGACACAAAGCTGGAGTTATTCTGTGTTTGCTGCACAGCTGTTCTTCTCCTCTCATTCTCTCCTGTTTCTCCTTCAATCATGAAACTGATCAATGATCAGCTGATCGGCTCTCTTGTTTGTTTATCGCCCACTTTGCGCCAGAAAGAGGAAACCAGCGGATGTCGCGCTAA